GTTGGTTGCCAGTTCACTCTATTGATAGTTTCTTTTGCTGTGTAGAAGCTCTTAAGTTTAATTAGATCTCATTTGTCTATTTTGGCTTTTGTTGCCATTGCTTTTGGTGTTTTAGTCATGAAGTCCTTGCCTATGCCTATGTCCTGAATGGTATTGCCTAGGTTTTCTTCTAGAGTTTTTATGGTGTTAGGCCTCATGTTTAAATCTTTAATCCATCTAGAGTTAATTTTTGTATAAGATGTAAGGAAGGGATCCATTTTCAGCTTTCTGCATGTGGCTAGCCAGTTTGCCCAGCACTATTTATTAAATAGGGAATCCTTTCCCCATTGCTTGTTTTTGTCAGGTTTGTCAAAGATCAGATGGTTGTAGTTTTGTGGCATTCTTTCTGAGGCTTCTGTTCTGTTCCATTGGTCTGTATCTCTGTTTTAGTACCAGTACCATGCTGTTTTGATTACTGTAGCCTTGTAATATAGTTTGAAGTCAGATAGCATGATACATCCAGCTTTGTTTGTATGTTTTTTGCTTAGAATTGTCTTGGCTATGTGTGCTCTTTTTTTGGTTCCATATGAAGTTTAAGGTGGTTTTTTTCCAATTCTGTGAAGAAAGTCATTGATAGCTTGATGGGGATAGCACTGAATCTATAAATTACTTTGGGCAGTATGGCTATTTTTACAATATTGATTCTTCCTAACGATGAGCATGGAATGTTTTTCCATCTGTTTGTGTCCTCTCTTATTTCCTTGAGAAGTGGTTTGTAGTTCTCCTTGAAGAGGTCCTTCATATCCCTTGTTAGTTGTATTCCTATTTTATTCTCTTTGTAGCAGTTGTGAGTGGGAGTTCACTCATAGTTTGGCTCTCTGTTTGTCTATTATTGGTGTATAGGAATGCTTGTGATCTTTGCACATTGATTTTGTATCCTGAGACTTTGCTGTAGTTACTTATCAGCAAGGAGATTTTGGGCTGAGACAATGGGGTCTTCTAAATATACAATCATGTCATTGGCAAACAGGGACAATTTGAACTCTTTCTATTCGAATACACTTTATTTCTTTCTCTTGCCTGTTGGCCCTAGCCAGAACTACCAATACTATGTTGAATAGCAGTGGTGAGAGAGGGCATCCTTGTCTAGTGCCGGATTTCAAAGGGAATGCTTCCAGTTTTTGTCCATTCAGTATGATACTAGCTGTGGGTTTGTCATAAATAGCTCTTATTATTTTGAAATATGATCCATTGATACCTAGTTTACTGAGAATTTTTAGCACAAAGGGCTGAATTTTATCGAAGGCCTTCTTTGCCTCTATTGAGATAATCAAGTGGTTTTTGTCTTTGGTTCTGTTTATATGATGGATTACGTTTATAGATTTGCAGATGTTGAACCAGCCTTGCATCCCCTGGATGAAGAAGCTGACTTGATCATGATGGATAAGCTTTTTGATGTGCTGTTGAATTCGGTTTACCAGTATTTTATTGAGGATTTTTGAATCAGTGTTCATCATGGATATTGGCCTGAAGTTTTCTTTTTTAGTTGTGTCTCTGCCAGGTTTTGGTATCAGGATGATGTTGGTCTCATAAAATGAGTTAGGGAGGATTCCCTCTTTTTGTATTGTTTGGAATAGTTTCAGAAGGAATGGTACCAGCACCTCCTTGTACCTCTGTTAGAATTTGGCTGTGAACCCATCTGGTCCTGGACTTTTTCTTTTTTTTTAGACAACAAAAAGCAAGCAGTTTATTTTTAGGGAAGAAGGAGAGCGTCAATCTAAATAAAAAAAAGAGAGAGGCTCTCTAAAGGAAAATTGTATTTTTTCGGGAAGAAGACATTACAGTGGGCATATGTATGCCATAACAAACTATCTGCATATTCAGGGAGGTAAGGGAAGACAGTGGTTTTTAGAGGAAAAGTAAGAAGGATTACATAATTGTTTCAAGGTAACTATCCTCGGCCACAACGGTCAGTAATAAGGGTGACACCACTATGTACTTGGACAGGCAATTGCTGGCAGATGTCCTTGCAGGGGTTTTTTTTTTTTTTTTTTTTTTTTTTTTTAATTTAAGTTCTGGGGTACGTATGCAGATCTTGCAGGATTGTCACATAGGAATACACATGCCATGGTGGTTTGCTGCTTCCACCCTGCCCCATCACCTACATTAGGTTTTTCTCCTAATGTTATCCCTCCCCAATGTACCCACCTACCCAATCAACCCACCCTCTGCTATCCCTCCCCAATCCCCACCCCCTGACAGACCCCGATGTGTGATGTTCCCCTCACTGTGTCCATGTGTTCTCATTGTTCAATACCCACCTGTAAGTGAAAATATGCAATGTTTGGTTTTCTGTTCTTGTGTCAGTTTGCTGAGAATGATGGTTCCCTGATTCATCCAGGTCCCTGCAAAGGACATGAACTCATCGTGTTTTATGGCTGCATAGTATTCCACGGTGTATATGTGCCACATTTTGTTTAGCAATGAACATACATGTGTATGTGTCTTTATAATAGAATGATTTATACTCCTTTGGGTATATACCCAGTAATGAGATTGTTGGGTCAAATGGTATTTCTATTTCTAGATCCTTGAGGAATTGCCACGCTGTCTTCCACAATAGTTGAACTAATTTACACTCCCACCAACAGTGTAAAAGTGTTACTATTTCTCCACATCCTCTCCAGCATCTGTTGTCTCCAGATTTTTTGATGATTGCCATTCTAACTGGTGTGAGATGGTATCTCAATGTGGTTTTGATTTACCTTTCTCTAATGACCAGTGATGATGAGCATTTTTTCATATGTTTGTTGGCTGCATAAATGTCTTCTTTTGAAAAGTGTCTGTTCATATCCTTTGCTCACTTTTTGATGGGGTTGTTTTTTTCTTGTAAATTTGTTTTAGTTCTTTGTAGATTCTGGAAATTAGCCCTTTGTCAGATGGGTAGCTTGCAAAAATATTTTCCCATTCTGTTGGTTGCCGGTTCACTCTAATGATTGTTTCTTTTGCTGTGCAGAAATTTAATTAGATTCCATTTATTTATTTTGGCTTTTGTTGCCATTGCTTTTGGTGTTTTAGCTTTCTGCCCATGGCTAGCCAGTTTTCTCAATACCATTTATTAAATTGGAATCCTTTCCTCATTGCTTGTTTTGGTCAGGTTTGTCAAAGATCAGATGGTTGTAGATGTGTGGTGTTACTTCCAAGGCCTCTGGTCTGTTCCTTTGGTCTATATCTCTGTTTTGGTACCAGTATCATGCTGTTTTGATTACTATAGCCTTGTAGTATAGTTTGAAGTCAGGTAGTGTGATGCCTCCAGCTTTGTTCTTTTTGCTTAGGATTGTCTTGGCTATGCAGGCTCTTTTTTGGTTCCATATGAAGTTTAAGGTGGTTTTTTTCAGTTTTGTGAAGAAGGTCAGTGCACCTCAGTATAGGCGACAAAGCAAGACTCTGTCACAAAAACAAAAGAAAACTAAACTAAAAGTAGAACTACCATTTGATCCAGCAATCCCACTACTGGGTAGCTACCTAGAGGAAAAGAAGTCATTATACGGAAAAGATACTTGCACATGCATGTTTATTGCAGCAGAATTCACAATTGCAAAAATATAGAATCAGCCCACAAACCCATCAATTAATGAATGGATTAAAAAAATGTAGTACAAATGTACTATGGAATACTACTCAGCCTTAAGAAATGAAATAATGGCATTTGGAGCAAGCTGGATGAAGCTGGAGACCATTTTTCTAAGTGAAGTAGCTCAGGAATGGAAAACTAATCATCATATATTCTCACTTGGAGATATATGACGGAGCTAAGCTATGATACAAAGGGATAAGAATGATACAATGGACTTTAGGGACTTCAGAAATGGGTGGGAGGTGAGTGAGGGAGGAAAGACTACACACTGGGGGCAGTGTACACTGCTTGGGTAATGGGCGCACTCAAGCCTCAGAAATCACCCACTAAAGAACTTATACATGTAACCAAACATCACCTTTGCCCAAAAAACTACCACAATAATTTTAAATAAAGTGAAAAGAGAAATGACATTAGTGTTGAGAGACAATCTATTGATGGATATACAAAGGCTGAAAATTGTGGGAAATCCACATAAAATAAACATTCTAAGTGCTAAAACAAAACCTAATGACTCAGTTTTCTTAAGAGCAAAATTGCAAAAAGTGACATTAATGCCCATCCTAGAAGAATAAAACACACATCACCTTTACTGTTATGAGTAAATTACTTGTCTTTCCTTGAAAGAGTATCCAAGCCTATTGTGTTCATTTTCACACTGATCAAAGAGAGCACCCTTCTGTCCACAGGGATCTGCAGTTTTCAGGACCTGGCAGAAATTCTATCTTTTCCTTTTTTTTTTTTTGAGACAGAGTCTAGCTTTGTTTCCCAGGCTGAAGTGCAGTGGTGCAATCTTGGCTCACTGTAACCTCTGCCTCCCAGGTTCAAGTGATTCTCCTGCCTCAGCCTCCCAAGAGGCATGTGCCACCTTGCCCCGCTAATTGTTTGTATTTTTAGTAGAGATGAGGTTTCACTGTGTAAGCCAAGATGGTCTAGATCTCCTGACCTGGTGATCCGCGTGCCTCGGCCTCCTAAAGTGCTGGGATTACAGGTGTGAGCCACCGCGCCTGGCCTTTATCCTCTACCTTTAACAGTCAGGCACAAAAGTAGAGGCAGCTGCTAGGCCCCTCTGCCCAGAGCCAAGTGACTGTCACCATCAGTAGGCAGGATGAAGGCTTGAGCTTCCCTGGTCCCAGAGATCTTCTGGGTGCTGCCCTCCCCCGCTGCAGCTGCACCCCAGAACATCCCTGAGTCCGCGAGACAATGGCCTGATCCGTGCAGGATTCTATGGCCAGCGGGTACCAGCGCGTGATGCTTTGTGCGCTTGAAGCGTCCTGAGACCAACGGTCACGGTCACCAAGTTCTGCACACTTGGCACCGGCCTCAGACTTCGGAAACTTGTGGAAGCCGAATTTCTAAGGAAAGGTCCCGACCGCTACACTGCTGTCATGGGCAGCTATCTGAGCAGGTTCCTGGGCTGGCCCCGGGCCAGGCTGCCGCCCCGATCCTGGAAGCCCCGGACCCTGCGCTCCAGACCCGTCCGACGCTCCCAGGTCCAGAACCGCTGCAAAGTCGTCAATGTCCACAGGCCGCGCTGGGTCCGCACCCGGCACCTCCCCAAGGCTCCTCCAGACTGGGATCATGCCCGCATCTGGGGGTGCTATTCCAAGAGGCCATCGCTCCACAGCTTCATTGGGCCGGGCTGTACCGATATTCGCCTGGCCTACCTGAAGTGGTGGCTTTGGCATGCCCGGCACCCGCGGCCCGTCCGCAGCCTGGTGACAGTGAAAATCGCCCCGCCGGAGCACAGAGGGGAGCCTCGACAAGCCTCGCCTGCGCTGGAGCGCCCAGATCCCTGTGCCAGGGAGACCGTGCTCAAGGCCCTCAGCCAGTGCAACAAGGGAAAAAGGAAATTCACCGAGCCACTCTGGTTTGAGGCCCCGGACACCAAGCAGAGGAAGCAGAGCCCGGAACCCAGGCCTTCTGCCTTCAAGCCCATCAGGAGACATGGAGAGGTCCCCGCCTTTGTGCCCAGGCCTGGGCCGCTGAGAAGCCTCCGCTCTCCCGCAGCAGTGTGTTCGGGGAGATACGGCCTTTTTTCAGCCCGCCGCCCGCCCTACTGCAGGAAGTACTCCGTCCAGAGCCCAGTCGCAGCGGCCACCGCGGGAGCTCTAGGAGCAGGTGCAGCAATGTCTCCGTGTCTTGGGCCTTCCTACCCCTCAAGGAGAGCCGCCCCGGGGTGGGGACCATGCACCTCTGAGCACACCCAGACTGCAGCCCGGCTCAGAGTCAGGGGACCTTCTCCTGAGCCTCCAGACTCCTTCACCCTACTGACCTGTTTCACCCCCACAGGAGCCACTGAGCCCACCAGGGCACTGCCCACCGCTTCAGCTGACCACTCTGCCAGCCCCAGCCCTGCCTCTCCTTAGCCTGCGGAGCCCCCACTGAAGAGACCTTGTTGCCCTCAAAACCCTTCCCTTTCCCCTGCCCACCCGTTTCTGCCTTCTCCCTGGAACAGGAGGCAGCCGTATCCTCCATTTTCATAGTTTGTATAGTAAATATTTCTTCTTTTAAATAATAGTGTCTTTATTATTTTTAAAAAAGTAGAAGTCAGTTGCATATCCTTAAGCAGGAAAAGAAAGAAAAATTCAAGCCACACATCACGCTATATAGAAAAATTAACTCAAGTGGATCATAGACTTAAATGTAAAATGTACAAATTTAAATCTTTCAGAAGAATGGGTACATATGCAGATCTTGCAGGATTGTTGCATAGGTGCACACATGCCGTGGTGGTTTGTTGCCTTGATGCCCCCATCACCTACATCAGGCATTTCTTCCAATGTTATTCCTCCCTAACCTCCCTGCCTGCCACTCCCAACAGACTAGCTATCCCTCCCCTAGCCCCCCACCCCACAACAGACCCCAGTGTTTGATGTTCACCTCCTTGTGCCCATGTGTTCTCATTGTGCAATACCCACCTATGAGTGAGAACATGCAATGCTTGGTTTTCTGTTCTTGAGTCAGTTTGCTGAGAATGATAGTCTCCAGATTCATCCATGTCCCTACAGAGGACATGAACTCATTCTTTTTATGGCTGCATAGTATTCCATGGTGTATATGTGTCACATTTTCTTTACCCATTCTCTCATTGATGAGCATTAGGGTTGGTTCCAAGTCTTTGCTATTGTAAACAGTGCCGCAATGAACATGTGTGCAGGTGTCTTTATAATAGAATGATTTATAATCCTTTGGGTATATACCCAGTAATGGGATTGCTGGGTCGAATGGAATTTCTATTTCTAGGTCCTTGAGGAATCACCACACTGTCTTCCACAATGGTTGAACTAATTTACACTCCCACCAACAGTGTAAAACCATTCCTATTTCTCCACATCCTCTCTAGCATCTATTGTCCCCAAATTTTTTAATAATCACCATTCTAACTGGCGTGAGATGATATCTCAGTGTGGTTTTGATTTGCATTTCTCTAATGACCAGTGATGATGAGCATCCTTTCATATGTTTGTTGGCTGCATAAATGTCTTCTTTTGAAAAGCGTCTGTTCATATTCTTTGCCCACTTTTGGATGCGGTTGTTTTTTTCTTGTAAATTTGCATTAGTTCTTTGTAGATTCTAGAAAACAGCCCTTTGTCAGGTAGCTTGCAAAAATATTTTCCCATTCTGTTGGTTGCTGGTTCATTCTAATGATTGTTTCTTTTGCTGTGCAGAAGCTCTTAAGTTTAATTAGATCCCATTTGTCAATTTTGGCTTTTGTTGCCTTGCTTTTGGTGTTTTCGTCATGAAGTCATTGCCCATGCTTATGTCCTGAATGGTATTACCTAGGTTTTCTTCTAGAGTTTTTATGGTGTTAGGTCTAATGTTAGAATCTTTAATCCATCTAGAGTTAATTTTTGTGTAAGGTGTAAGGAAGGGGTCCAGTTTCAGCTTTCTGCACATGGCTAGCCAGTTTTCCCAACATCATTTATTAAACAGAGAATCCTTTCCACATTGTTTGCTTTTGTTAGGTTTGTCAAAGATCAGATGGTTGTAGATGTGTGGTGTTACTTCCAAGGCCTCTGTTCTGTTTCATTGGTCTATGTGTCTATTTTGGTACCAGTATCATGCTGTTTTGATTACTGTAGCTTTGTAGTATAGTTTGAAGTCTGGTAGCATGATGCCTCCAGCTTTGTTCTTTTTGCTTAGGATTGTCTTGGTTATGTAGGCTCTTTTTTGGTTCCATATGAAGTTTTAGGTGGTTTTTCCCAGTTCTATGAAGAAGGTCAACGGTAGCTTGATGGAGATAGCATTGAATATATAAACTACTTTGGGCAGCATGACCATTCATGATATTGATTCTAACCATGAACATGGAATGCTTTTCCATCTGTTTGTGTCCTCTTTTACTTCCTTGAGCAGTGGTTTGTAGTTCTTTTTGAAGAGACCCTTCACATCCCTTGTTAATTGTATTCCTAGGTATTTTATTCTCTTTGTAGCAGTTGTGAATGCGAGTTCACTTATGATTTGGCTCTCTCTTTGTGTATTATTAATGTATAGGAGTGCTTGTGATTTTTGCACATTGATTTTGTATCCTGAGACTTTGCTGAAGTTGCTTGTCAGCTTAAGGAGATTTTGGGCTGAGACGATGGAGTCTTCTAAATATACAATCATGTTGTCTGCAAATAGAGACAATTTGACTTCCTCTTTTCCTAATTGAATACCCTTTATTTCTTTCTCCTCCCATACTATGTTGAATAGGAGTGGTGAGAGAAGGCATCCTTGTCTTGTGCCAGTTTTCAGAAGGAATGCTTCCAGTTTTTGACCATTCAGTATGATATTGGCTGTCAATTTGTCATAAATTTGTCAATTATTTTTTATCCAGAGGTCATTCAGGAGGAGATTGTTCAGTTTCCATGTAGTTGCACAGTTTTGAGTGAGTTTCTTAATTCGAAGTTCTAATTTGATTGCACTGTGGTCTGAGATAATGTTATGATTTCTGTTCTTTTGCATTTGCTGTGGAGTGTTTTACGTCTAATTATGTGGTCAATTTTAGAATAAGGAAGAGGTGGTGCTGACAAGAATGTATATTCTGTGGATTTGGGGTGGAGAGTTCTGTAGATATCTGTTAGGTCAACTTGGTCCAGATCTGAGTTCCTTGCTAATCTTCTGTCTTGTTGACCTGTCTAATATTGACAGTGGCGTGTTAACTTTTCCCACTATTATAGTGTGGCAGTCTAGGTCTCTTTTTAAGTCATTAAGAACTTGCTTTATGTATCTGGGTGCTCCCGTATTGGGTGCACATAAATTTAGGACAGTTAGCTCTTCTTGTTGCATTGATCCCTTTACCATTATGTAATGCCCTTCTTTGTCTCTTGATCTTTGTGGGCTTAAAGTCTGTTTTATCGGAAACTAGGATTGCAACCCCTGCTTTTTTCCTCTCCATTTGCTTGGTAAATATTCCTTCATCCCATTATTTTGGGCCTACATGTGCCTTCGCATGTAAGACATGCAAAGTTTGCTGAAGCAGAACCGACACCACCACTTTTCCCAGGTGTTCTGTTCCAGGAAGGTGGGGCTTTATTTGTAAGTCCCTGATGGGCTGCTGCCTTGGTTCCTTTCTGCCCAGCAAGAAGGTAGTCTAGTTGACAGTCTGCCTGCAGAGGTGTTGCTGAGCTACCGTGGGCTCTGCCCAGTTGCTGTGTTAACTTCCTTGTGACTTTGTTTACACAGGCAAGGTTAAAACCGCCTACCCAAACCTCAGCAATGGCGGACGCCCCTCCCCCAACCAAGCTGTAAAGTGCCAAGGCGAGCTCAGACTGCTGAGCTGGCTGTAAGAATTTCAAGCTAGTGGATCTTAGCTTTCTGGTCTTCATGTGGGTGGGACCCACCGAGCCAGATCACTTGGCTCCCTGGCTTCAGCCCCCTTTCTCAGGGGAATGAGTGGTTCTATCTCGAGGTGTTCTAGATACTACTGGGGTATGAAAAAAAATTGCTGTGGCTAAAACAGCTACCTAGTTTTGTGCTGGAAACCTCGGGCACTGGTATGGTAGGCACCAGAGGGAATCTCCTGGTCTGCTGGTTGTGAAGGCTGTGGGAATAGCGCAATATCTGAACCCGAGTGCCAGAATGTCAGAAACATCCCTAATGGTGTCCCTTGGCTAGAAGAGGGAGTTATCTGGTCCCTTGCACTTCCCAGGTGAGGTGACGCCCCACCCGGCTTTGGTTTGCCCTCCTTGGGCTACACCCACTGCCTAACCAGTCCCAGTGAGATGAACCTGGTACCTAGGTTGGAAATTCAGAGATTGCTTGCCTTCTGGATTAGTCTTGCTGGGAACTGTGGACCAAAGCTGTTCCTATTTGGCCATCTTGGCAGAAGTCCCTTGTGATGTGTTTCATATTTCCTGTCACCATTATTTCCGTTTTTCTTTTTCTAAAAAAGTAATTTTTTTTATTTGATACTTTTAGTTATGGAAGTAATATATATTTGCTTTACTAAGTGAAGCTACTTAGTACAAAGATCATATGTAGGTAAAATTAGTGATCTAAAAGCTCTTTCCAGCACAACTCCCTGAGACAGTCAGTATTAACAGCCCCGTGTACATCTTTCTAAAACATTCTTGCTCCATTAAATACATGAGTTCATTGTACACACACTGGTATTCTGTTCTTATTTGAACAGAATAATATTTTTACTCATTATTTTGTAATTTGCCTTTTCAGTTTAACCATAGGTCATGTACATTCCTGCAAATTAGTAGATACAGATCTAACCGCATCTCTTTTTTTCAAGTATCACATACATGGAGATAATATTACAGGTTGGGTGTCCTTTGAGGTTCTTTTTTTGTTTTCTTTTACTTTCTCTCTTGTCATCTTATCTCTTATCATGCTTGGTAATCCATGTGAATTACTTGGTGTGTATCCTTCTATGTTTTCCTCTATGCCCAGATAACTGTATGTGAACATATAAACATATAAGGGGTTGAGAACATTTGCCAACTTTTATTAAATGGTATATTAAACACACTTTTCTGTATCTTAGTTTCCTAATTTAACAAAACTTCATAGAAGCATCTCCAACTCAACTGGTGTAGCTTGCATTTATTCTTTTATGGATACATACTGTTCCATGATATGGACCTCTCATTATTTATGAAACTGTCACCTTTTTTTTTCTTTTTTGGCATTAGGAATAGTGGTTTAATAAACATATTTTTACATTCTTTTGTATTGGTATTTTTACTTTAAAAAAGTGTTACAGTGTTTGGGATCTCATTAAAATGTACGTTTAGCAATAGGTATTGCTAGATTGCTTCTAAAATTTTTGTTAACAGTGGCCACTAGCAGTTTGCGAGAGTGCCCCTCTCTTGACATCTCTGTTAGTGGTAAGTGCTAATCTTTATGATTTTTGCATCTGGATGGAAATGTT